GGACAGGCCTCCCATCTGATGGCAAACAGGCCGACAGGAGGCACGGCTGTGGCTCATCTTCCACATGGGAAACTGAGGATCATAGTCAAGGCCGGGCGGCCATGGCCAGAACCCACACCTCCACCCCACCTCCTGGAGGGCTGCCTAGTGGGAACACTGGTTGAAACAGTTTCCTGTAAGATTCTGGGAGCAGGACAGCCCCAGGGATAAGGAGGGGAGCAGGAATCCTCAAGCCCTGAGCAGTGCGGGGCAGGGTGTGCTCCTGGGTCTCCTGTGCAGAGCTGTCCCACTTTGAAGCTGTCTTTGCCTCTGGGCACCCACGGGGCCTGAGCCCGCCTGACCCTGCCCGTGTCTCCCTCCCAGCTGGGTCCCGTGTACACAGAAGGCGGGTTCGTGGAAGGCGTCAACAAGAAGCTCGGCCTCCTGGGCGACTCTGTGGACATCTTCAAGGGCATCCCCTTCGCGGCTCCCACCAAGGCTCTGGAAAACCCCCAGCCACACCCCGGCTGGCAAGGTGGGAGTGGGTGGTGCCGGGCTGGCCCTGCGGTGGGGCTGGTGAGGGTGGCTGCCTTCCTCATGTCAACTCCTCCTGCCACCTGCAGGGACCCTGAAGGCCAAGGATTTCAAGAAGAGATGCCTGCAGGCCACCATTACCCAGGATGACTCCTACGGGGATGAAGACTGCCTGTACCTCAACATCTGGGTGCCCCAGGGCCGGAAGCAAGGTCTGCCTTCCCCACTCCCCAAGGGAACCTCCCAGGCTGCCGGAGCCCTGGCCCTGCTCCTGGCTTGGGTCTGGGGGCTGCAAAGCTGAGCTTCCCTGAAATCCGGCAGAGGCGGGGAGGGGAGCACCTGGTGGTGGTCCCCTAGCCTGGGGCGGGGCAGCTCCTTGGAACCTCCCTGTCTGGGCCCCAGATACCTGCTGCACAGGGAATAGGCACCAGCTGGGGAGAGGGCCCGGGGCATCTGGGGTCACCAGCCGCTCCCCCATCTCAGTCTCCCGGGACCTGCCTGTGATGGTCTGGATCTATGGAGGCGCCTTCCTCATGGGGGCCGGCCACGGGGCCAACTTTCTCAAGACCTACCTGTATGACGGCGAGGAGATCGCCGCTCGCGGCAGCGTCATCGTGGTCACCTTCAACTACCGCGTCGGCCCCCTTGGCTTCCTCAGCACTGGGGACGCCAACCTGCCAGGTGCGTGGGCCCCTTTGGCACAGAGGTGGGCTGGCCAGCGGCTGAGCCCAGCAGGGGGAGGCTCCTCATCGCCTGTCATCCCAGAAAACCAGTGGCGGTCCCACGGAAAACCCAGAAGCTGGAGTAGAATCACAAGATACAGGAGGCCCTTGGCAGCAGCAGCAAAATAATAGATGGTGCGGAGGCCAGGCAAGGTGGTTCGTGCCCCTAATCCCAACACGTTAGGAGGCCAAGGCAGGTGGATCACTTGAACCCAAAAGTTCAAGACCAGCCTGGGAAACACTGGGAGACGCAATCTCTAAAAAAAGCATATAAAAAATTAGCTG